ATTGATGTAAAACGAATATGCATCCTCATTCATCCTGATTTTTTAAATGAAATCTACATCTTTTATCTAAAAACTAAGTGTTATGGTCTTTCTCTTATGTATTGCATTATGATGTTTTGTGAAAAATCTGTACATGATGGAGAAAAATTGATATCATTTTCAGATTCTGCATACAGGAATTACTGTAGAACATGTAAAAATTTCAAGACAATAAAACCATCGCAGGCCTGTGTAACTTGTGGAATGGTTTACCATAGAAAATGACATGTACACTTGTGTTTAGTGTTACTGGTTAATTTTATAGGTAGATGGAGGTCACTGTTATGTTTTTTTTTATATACATCCTTGATTAGCTAATTTATTTTATTGATAATTATGTGCATATAAGTTTAAAATACTTCATTCCTTAATACTTGTGAAAGTTCAGTATAAAAGAAAAATAATTATTTGATTATGTTTATAGTTTTCGTTAAAATGTGATTTAAACAGGTATAGCACATGTACATTACTTTCTGGAAATAATGTGATCAGTTCCTCCTTTTTTCCCCATCAAGGACTGTGCTGCCTGCTTCAAATTCCATCTCTTATCTTTAACCCACATTAAAACTAGAATTTTGGGAATTTTTACTTTCTAATGATATCTTTTAACTGAAAATTCTAATGTATTTCTTTAAAACAATCCTAAACACTAACATTAATGTTGCTTAACAAAATTAATATCAATGTCTTTGTGAAGTTTGAATGAAGCTTTTGAGATCTCAGAAATCTGACTAGTTTTATTTTGTAGGATAAGTTAATTTATTGTTTGGCTAACAGTGAAAAATATGGTACAAATTTTAAAGGCAAGAATGTTAAAAGATTTATTATATGTTATGGTTAATATTTAATTAATAATGTTTAGCAAAATATTATTGTTTCTATGTACAGAAATGTAATAATCAGATTTAAATTGTCTTTTAGTGGAACTATGCTTGTATTTTTAATTATTTGTTTTTTCTCTCTTTGACAAAAATGACATGTATATATTCACTTATTATAAAATCTTGCTGGTTTGTTGGCTGCTGTGATTAATAAATCTCAAGCTTCTTGAAAGTAGTAATTTTTATGTATTGGAGAAATTTAATTCAAGATTATAAGTTGATAGATTCAGTAACTGTTTGTTTGTGTGAATGGTAAAACCTATGTTGTACTCTTTTTTTTTTTTTTTTATCTCTGGTGAGCTAGATAATCTTGCATGATTTAAATGAATTAAAAGAAAAGCTTGTTTTAAGTGATAGAAAGGCAATATTACAAGTTAAATAGCCCAGCATTTAAACACATAATTTATTCCTTGTAAATAAGAACTAAAATATTCACTCAGTGTTTGTTATTTATCTTTTACTATAAAACTTTTGTTCTTTCTTTCAGAGGAACAGAATAAAAGAAAGCGTGGAGTTAAACTAGAGAAAAAAAATAAAAAACCAAAGCTGGACCAGGATGATTCATTAGTTAAGAAGAACATACAGATAGAAAAGAGGATGAAAAAACAGAATGAGCCAAGAAAATTGATGAAAGAAGACATCGAAATAATTGATACAGTCACACCTGTTAAACCTGAAAAACTAAGTTTACAAGAAGAATCAAGTGAATCAGATATAGACACAGAAGAGATGAGTGAAGATGAAGATGATGATAGCATTGAAATGGAAGAAGAAAGTTTTGAAGATGGAGAAGAAGATGAAAGTGACAGTGGAGATGAAACAGGTACATAGTATTTTCCGTAAAAATGCTTAAAAAATAAATAAAAAGAAAACATTTTAAGTTTACACTTTGATGAAAGTACTAAATAAAATGTAACCGACTGATGAGTATGAAAATTGTGCTGTGAAATTTTATTGACACAATTGTAAAACGAATTTTTTTTAATAAGGATATTGAACATAGTTTTAACTTTTTTAAAGACAAAATAGTTCATTTATCATACCTGACAGATAAGCATAATGAAAAAATATTTAGTATAAGTCACTTGACTGGATATCTTGGAAATGAAATAGGTCACTATATTTAGAAAGAGAGAACCATTAAAAGTTAGGTTGGAGTTCATTTAAACTTGTATCACATTTTTCTAGTTTCAATTTTGTGCTATATGAAAACATTATATCTGTATTTTGATGGTTATTTTAAAATTTATATTAGTTTACAATTCCAAGCTATTATGTATGCTAATTAATGTGAAAAATTCATCCACTCTTAGAGTTAATAAAGTCATTTTCAAGAAATTAACACGAATTACAGAATTTAAATATTTCAAAACGTTTATTTTATATTTTAAAAGTGTTCTATTACTTAAGGTGTTTTATTCATCCCAGTGTTTATGAAATAATTGTTCTCAGGTTCAAAAGCAAGGAAAATATAATCTGACTTTTAGAAGGTCTGTGTGTTTTCATTGTTGTGTTAAAGGTGTAAGCTTAAACAATCAGTCCACTTTAGAATATTTTCTTAAATTAAAAGCACTTTAATTTCTCATAATTAAAATATTCTTGATGTGCATGTTGTAGATATGGACGACCCAATTCGAATATAATTATTTAAAATAATTATAATATCAGAAATTGTTATCATAGATTGATTATGGAGTTGCATCCAATGTTGTTGTGTGATCTTGAATTTTTCCTCAGTTAAACAAAAAGAAATTGTAAAGATTATAACATCTAAAATGATGTTTTATTCATTGTTTACATACTTATGAGTCCTGACAAGTGTCAGATTTAGAAGAGTACGTGGTCACTTCTACTGGCACATTAACATGTTACTGAATAAAATTGTGCAACATAAGGGTTTAGTGTGGGAGAAATTAGATTGTATTAATAACTCATAAAAGATTTTAATAAATCATTTTATTATTTTCACAAATGAAAAAAAAAAAAAAGAATGTACCTGAAATAGCTTGACATGATTTTCATATTTCAAAAAACATAGTTTGCTGTCTTTCTGAATATTTTATCTAAACATTACATGAACATACATAACATCTAAATTCCAATCTTAGATCAATGCATTTATGCAACTAGGTTATGAAGAATTTTGAATACTCATTGTAAATTGTAATGTTAAAAACTTGAGTTTATTTTCAGAAATTAAAGTAGAAGATAATATCTAAATCAAGAAAAGCAAAGAGAATTCAGTTTATAATTGAATTTAAGAGGATAAACATAAATTCATCGATATATAATACTTTTATTACTGTATATTTAAGTCAAGTCCATAGTTAGACATTTTTTATCTTGCATGTATAAGTTAAGATTTAACAGTTTTTAAAGTTCCATCCCTTTTTCTTTGTTTAAAAATCTCTGTTTAGTAGGTCTTTGTAAAGCTTCAAACTTAATGTCCAAAAGAATCAAACAAGTGACATATAAAGCACACAAATACATGCAGTATGTTATAAACTTAAAGCTGATGTTAATGTTTATGTACAGATGCATTTACATTCATTTGTTATTTCCTTGTTATAGACATGTAAACACAGCTGAATTAATTAATGAAGATGAACTGAAATCTTAAATGCGTGTCAAATATATTTTGATGTATTTGCATGCTAAATTACAAAAACATCATATTTATAACAAGAACTTAATAATACTGCACACATACCTTCAAATAATAGAATATTTTTAGCTAACAGTGAATTAATTTGACCATACCAGCTAAGTTTTTGTCATTAGAAAAAAATTTAAATCCAACAAAAATTTCTAACTGTACTACCATGGATGCATCTTCAAAGTATAAAGTAATTTATGCCAATTGCGCATTTACTACTCAAGTTATACTCATTAGATTATGTTGGCTTTCTTGCCTTTCCAAGTCAGTCATCAAGGATTCATCACTAAAAAACATGGCAGGAATGGAATCTCATTCCTCATTGTACCAAAGAGAAAGCTAGATCAAATCTTATTAGTGAAGAGGTGGGGAAATTTTTGAAGCATAATGAAAATTAAAGCAATTTATATAATTTAATAATGATTATGAGTGAACACCAATGAATGTATGATGAAATTTAGTTAATTCTTTAACAAACTTAAAAGCTCAAGCTTAAAAATAAGTCTTTTAAAGAATCAAATTTAAACCTTAAATAGTACATATATGTAGGAATTGTTTTTCATAAATGGTGAAAAGTAAAAGTGAAAAAAGTATGGCATGAGCCACATAATGCTTTGGATGTTAGGAACTTGTATCTTCAAAGTAATTATTGAGTTCAAAAATATAACTTGCATACTTGTTCTTTTCTTGTTGTCCATCTTTATGGCTTAAAAGAATAACTGATATACATGAAAAGTTTGAAATTTACATTGTCTGTACTTTTTAAATAAATGAAATTTTATGTGTAGAGTTGACTTAAAGTCATATATTTAATGCAGGTGTTTTTAGTCAGTGTGTATGATCAGTGATGTTTACATACTAGAAAGATGTATCCTTCGACTAATTTTATCCATATGATCAATCTGTACATTAAGAATATCTTTGCATAAAGGGAAGAAAAAACAACAAAAAACTCCCAGTACATGGATATGGCTGTAAGAACATTTTAGTTATATCTGAAATTATCACTATATTCAACTAGCTGTCATTTCTTCGATACAGATGGAAATGACGACACAAGATTAAGTGATAAAAACAAAACCCCAAAAAACAGTTTAAAACAGAAACTTTCAAGCAGTGCCAATAAAAAAAACTTATTAACACCATCAGAGAATATTTTGAAGAATCCTTCACTTTCCAATGGGAAGAAAAAAATCCAGTTAGGCGAAAGTGATAGTAATAAATTAGTGAAATCTAGCCCCAGAAGTGAGGATCGAGCACTTTCATCCCAGAAAAGAAAAAAGAAAAATCGAAGAGAATCCTTACATAACGGGTCTAATGATGGAACAGAATTGGAACAAAAAGAGGTAAATCTACAGCCTGGAAGAATAAGTTTCTTTACATGATTTTTTTTGACATAAACTAATTGATAACGAAACATACAAAAAATAGTTCCTGAGATTGCCTGTTCTTTTTCACTATTGGCCATTACAATGAAACACTGGAAGCTATTAAAATTGAATTTATCTGAAGCAACTCTTGTTTGTTGACAAGTAATGTAATAGTGACCACTGTGAAACAGTAGGAAAAGTTGTGCAAAATTCTTTTCAAATATAAGTTTCATTTTCTGAACTATAATTTGATTTCCCTTGCACTTGCTACTAGGTAGCAGGAGTACTCAAAATTAAAAAAATTAGTATCTTATGTGAAATAGCATTTTAATGGCCTGTCCTTCTTTACTCTAGTAATAATCAAGAAATAGGAAATAGTAAGAAAATTATTCAAAGAGTGTTTATTGTGAGAAACAATTTTATTTTCTGTTATATAATTGTTACTGATGATTGTTTAGGAACTATTTTAGGGAAAATAATTTGAGAAGAATGAAACTGTTTCTTTGTTAATGTGCTATTTTGTAACCTTTCTTGTTCAAATGTTTTTTCGTGTAAACTCGTAAAATTCAAAATTCACAGTTTTATGAAACATGCATGTGTTTAAAATTTATTTTTAAATGTATATTAGTGTTTCAATTTTTAGTTTTTGGGTATGTTAAGGATTATTAAACAAAAGATTTCAACAAAGACTTATTACAATATTTTTATTTCATAAACAGTGATTAATTGTGGTAGAATTAGAACAAAGAATTTAAACCAAATAATTTCATTACTAACTTGTTTTGTTTGTTGTTGTTTTTTGCAACTATATAAAGTTGAGTAAAGATACTAAAAAATCCCCTCAGACTCAGAAAACCTTGTTTGACTCTACACCCAAGTTGGCAAGTAGCCAGGTAAGCTTTTTTTATATATATATACCATTGTAATTTCATTATTTTCATTAGTGCTCTTTATATAGAAGTGTCTGTGTAAGAACATGATTTTTTTATACAAGATGACATAATTATATTTTAAACCATGTAATGTATTAAATGGATACACATTTTTCACTTGAAGGAAGGTACAAAAACGCCCAAAAGTACAAAGAAGCACCTAGCTGGTGAAGTTGAAATTGAAGACATTAGACAAGGCAGTGGTCCACCTGCTAGAAAAGGCAAACTCGTAAGTCTTTTCTAAGCTTATGTTAGAACTTGTTAATAATAGTGATGTATTTAGTGAGTGATCAGCTTAAAGACTAACTTGACATTGTTGAGTTGTAAATGCTGTCTTAGTTGAGAAGCTGAGCTTCAGATAGAATATACTGACACAATTTCACTGTAGATTCAGCAAGTATATGAGATATTATTTTCAACATTGGTGAGAACTAATTTTGTTGGGTTTTGTATGTGAGTAATTCAGTTAGTCAGTACATTTACTCAACAGCATATGCTTGGGTGTTGATTACCTCAAGTACTATGTGCTAGGTATGATGGGTTAGACTACTGCCTCAAGCTTATCTTCCCAATTAAAAAAAAAGAGTACTAAACTCTTTCTTAACAAAGAATTTCAGTTATTAGTTTTTTAATTCTTGTGTGTTTGAATGTGTGTCAGTAGAGTATAGTGAGAAGTTTCTTCAGACATTTAAGTTTATAACAGGAGACTCAGTTTTAAATATATCCAACAAGAAGAGCATATTCTGAATAGAAGGTTTTTTGATCCTGTCTCTGCTGTTTTTGTGTTAAGTTTCACATCATTATTAGGTTACAGAACATTGTAGTACTTTAAATATCATAAACCATGATAGTGGTTCATATTAGGGATAGCAAGAAATTGAACAAAACCCTAATAGAACATCTGGGCAAAAAACATATTAAACAGTAAACACTTGTTTCAAACAACACTTTAAAACCTTTACTATTGACTGCTAAGGCTGTACACATATAAATATTCACAAAAACAGCACACATGTTAGACAAGAAAAAGAAAATTGCTCAAAATGGCCCATTTGTAATTCTTCTCATTATTATTTTCTTGCCAGCCTACAACAAAAAGGGCTTGGTATGACATCTTGTAGAATACTAAATGAGGTATTGCAAAGGTCGCAGAGGTTTTGAAATGACAATTTGTTTCTTCTGTATTTTACATAAGCTAAAAAACATCATAATTCTAGTGTAAACAATGTTATCATTATACCTTGAAGTTAATTTTCTTACAAATATATGGTGTTCTTTTAAAAAGCTTAAGTACAGGATGAAACAAGAATTACCAAATAATAAAAAATCAATACACTTATTAAATTTTATTATACACATTTGTAGAATAATTACATTAAAAGACATGAAGGTTTATTTAAAGCAGTGTTTTAGATGTATATGTTTTATGTGAAAAGGCTGCTTTTCTACTGGTCAAAAAAAAAATTTTTGCACTTAGTGGGGGTTGTCTAGGCATGTATTTGCCCATTGCTATGGATTATATATAGAGAATTTAGTTACGCAGAAACTATAAATGCTCACTATATTCTCAAACAAATTTCCAGCTGCAGCTTACATTTTATATCTCAAACTAATTGGATCAGATAGTCAATAACTACAGTAAATCATCATGAATTGTATCAGCTAGCTACTAGCTATGTTTGTCATCATTACATTGTATAAAGTTAGTTACCATATCAAGTAATCCTTTGCTCATAGTTGAGCATAAAAAAAGCCAACAAACGAGATAAATAAAAATTTGGGAATTTAGAAACCTGCAAATAGGGATTGTAAACAAAAAAAAAAAAGTAAGAAAGCAAGGCTAGAGATATTGTAGACATTATTTACTCCAACTATAAATCCGTATTTTGACTCCATGAAATGTAAATCTAGGTAACAGCATGGAGCCAAAATATACAACAGTATATACAACAAATTTCTTATTCTTTAAACTTTAGTTAAAGAGGATATCTAAAATGTACAAAGTTAGGGCCTGAGTGCCTTCTTAATTAGTTTTCCATCATATCACAGTTTCACCATATTTTTATAACAGTTTCGAGTGGCCAATATTTTATTGGTGTTGAGCTTGTACACTGAAGTAAGATACTTAAGTTTATAAGTGGAAAACAGACCTGAGAGAAAAGTAAATCACCTAATTGTTTTTAATTATTGTTAAATATACATTTCATGTTGCTATTTTGAAAGCAACAGAGAACTACATATATCATAAATAACAAAAAAGGATATTCACTTAAGTTATTTTTCTTAGATCTCAACACGATAACATAATTAAACTTTGTAAGCAAGTCTAACAGGAACCATGCAGTAACCGCATTATTCCTTTTGCGTCAAAGATCAAAGTAAAAAGTTTTCAAACGTATGTAATGTATGCAAATATAAAATGTTGGAACTGCATATATGAAAGGAACTTTACAAGGAATTTTAGAACAGAAAATAGTCATTTTACCGATTTCAGTAGAATTTAATTTGTTTCATAGGAAGTCAATAACATGTGTGTAAATACAAAGATAATGGATGCTGTTATTTTAGAAAGTATAGAAAATAAAGAATTATCGTCATCATCAGACAAAAGTTTTTTGGAAGTTAAGATTCTTTTATGTACTAGTTGAGTTAACAGAACAATATACATATTTTCATAAATAAAACAGAAAAATGTTGTAAAAATGCAGATAATATTTTTAGTAGTTTGTAAATAGCCAACTGTATTTTTATATTAATATATATCGACAGGTTCATCTGTACTATGTAGGAAAGCTGCAACACAACAATAAACAATTTGAAGCAGTGACTAAAGGAAAACCATTTTCCTTTCGAATGGGTAGGGGTGAAGTCATTAAAGGTTTGGACATAGGACTAGAAGGTGAGTGTTTTATATACGTAAAGAATATAAATAGAATTCATGGTTGAACATAAAAAGAGGTAGTTACGAAAGTAATAAATATAAATTTTGGAAAGTTTTGAAATGTTTCAGTTACCTTGAAAAGGAAGTACTTTAAAATGCTTAAAATTTATCTTACAGTGTATAACTCAAAGATAACCTGGTACTTTTAGTTTTGATTGGGCATGGTTAAGAATGAGCAGTAGCTCTGAACAGTCACTAAATGGCATAAACAGTATCATTTTAAAAGATATGAGATGTTGTTGAAATAATTAAAAGTTGTAGAAATTAAGTTCTGATGTTAAAGTAAGGTTTTTATTGTGTGTACACATCTTTAATATTATTTGAATAAGGCTATCTTGTTTGGGACACTGGAAATTGATGAAAACAAATGTAAAAGTACAAATGATATAGCTATTACAAACCCTTCCCCCTAACTCTTAAACACAATCATTGTTCAGTCTGTTCTTGATGCTTCATTTTAAGAAATAATAAATATTTGTATGTTTAGGAATGAAAGTTGGTGGCAAAAGAAGCATCTGTGTCCCACCTTCTTATGGGTAAGGAGAAAAATGTTCTCATTAAACTGTTATTTTGTACATTATAAAAGATTAGTTTTTAAAGGATGAACTACATACATAGCATTCATTTAAAAAGAATAGTGCTGAAAAAATGACTCGATTGATATCCATCAGCACATGAAAGGACTATTTGGTTTAATGTGAAAAGCCAAATCCTTTAACCCTTTATTATCTCCACTTGTATACTTATGCGTACTAGACATCATCTCCACCTGTACATTCAGGCCAATTATGGTAATGGAAAAAAAAAAACCTTCCATGGATGATAAAGGGTTAAAAGACTTTGAGATGATCTCAAACAGGTCCTATCCTGTATCGAAAGACCTTAGATTATTTAACTGTTTTCAGTTTCACAGTGGTAACAAAGATTTGAACAACACAAGTGTTTTGAGTAACGTATAGTTGCATTCTCTAGTTTTGATTAGAAGTGAAAATAAGGGATATGAATGTAGATTTTTATTCATGAAAATAATTTTTTTATCAGTAAAACATAGCTTGAGAGCTTAGGTCTGAGAATATAAAAAAATGGTGTATCTTAAAACATGCTTCCTATAAAGGTAGTACATTTTTTACTGCTATTTTAAACATGTTGAAATTTCTGTCATATAGTCTTTCTTAAATCATGGTACTGACTTGTGTAGTTTTCTATCATTAAGGGGATGTTAACACATAAAAATAGTAGTGTTTACATTTTAAAAAATGCCTTAAAACTCTTGTTTTATTTTCTACATTGCCTTTCTTCTCTGACAACTAGAATTAAATAAGTATTCTATGTGAGGGTAAATATTATTCTGAATTAATGTCCAAAAAATATGGAAGTCAGTTCGGTCATGGAGGAAAAATATAAAAGTAAATTGTATATTGACTGTTGGGTTTGGCTGCTTAAGCCTCATTGCTATAGCATTGTTGTCAACCACTAAGACATGATGAAAACTTGGGGAAGAATTCTAAGAATCTTAATAAAAATTTTTTTAAATATTTTAATCCTATTTATGTGTTATTGTTGGAAACAAAATCTTGTCTTTGGCCCATCAGACAGGGTAAAGACTATGTTCAGATGTGAGATTAATATGTTATTTCACTTTTATGTATTCAAAACTACTAAGTTAATTTTTCCACATTTCAGATATGGAAGCAAACCCATGAACTTAATACCTCCTAATAGCACTCTATGCTATGAAGTAGAACTTCGAGCAGTAAGCTAATCAAAGTTTGCAAATTATAATTCTTTCTTCCATACATTTTAAATTTATTAAGTATTAAAAAGAAGGGTGACTGTTGTATATTTTTTTCTCAGTCAAATAAAATTTTTAGTAAAAGTTGATGTCACACAAATGTGCATGAATGTCTGATTCATCAAAGATGTAAACTTTGTCATTTAACCCTTTCCATACGGGTCACAGGTGAAAGGCCATGTCATCTCGTTTGTTGACTCGCATTCAAAATTTTATTGAACTACTATTACATGAATTTGTCAAGTTTAGTATCAAACTGTAGATTATGATTAAAATTTTAGAGTTATACATTACTCAATTTGTTAATTTAAAAGTAAATATTAAATAAACACAGATAAACATCGATTTGTGTATGTCACGTGGTATATTGGATGCAGCACTGGATCAAATTAGATGTTTGTGAAGTCAAAATACCAAGTCCATAGTTTTATACGAGGTAGAAACTCAAATT